TAAAGGCAGTTTTCTGTTCTTTTTCCTGGCCTGAAATTATTGCCGTGCTCTCTTCCACTCTGCTACCGAACACCCCCGTAAGAATTAAGTGACAAACCCACATATTACAGTGCTGAAAAAAATGTGTACTCTTGTGCGACCTCCGCACACCAAACATTCCTATTGTACCGCACGTTTCCTGTTTGTGCTAGTCCACAACCCCGGCCACCGGCAAAAACCTTTTCAGCAGTTGCTCCACTTGGCTCTATCAGCAAGCAAGCAGAGATCCATACTTAAGAAATAAAAACACAAACAAATGCAAACAGCCAGAGCTCGCTCTGCACTTCTGACCCGCGAGGAATTCGCTTCCATTCACCCCCAGCATTACAGATTATAGCGGCCCATACACAGAAGGGACATTTAGCATCCGCTTCTCGCGCGAGGCTTTTTGATAGGCATGAATTCTACGCCGATTTTGTTTGCCTCGGCCCCATCTTTTGCAATCCGTTTGCCAGAGCTGAACCGAAACCAAATCACGAGGCCGAGCGTTGCGTGAAGATGGCAATGGCAGCGCGGTCCCAAGGCAGCGCTCCACCTAGCGTCCCCCGCTCCGCCGGAGCCCGCCGGCAGCTCATTCATTGCATTTTGCGGCAGCAAACAGACCTCTCCAAGATGTACAAACGCAAGAAAACTCCTGACGAGTTGCCCTCGGTCATCTTCTTTTGGTAATTAGGTGATTCATGCCGTTTATATTTTAATATACCACCAATAGAAGAGAAAGCATCTCAGGACTAAGAAAAAAAAAGCTAAGTGCTGCTAAAAACAGTATTTAGAGTCGTTAATCATAATAGTTTTATTTCCTACAGAACCACATCACGATTGCTATTTTTAAAGTGTTGTTTTTAAAGAATTGTGGAAAACCTTTAATGGACTTTGGGAAAATAAGCCAGCAGACTTGTTTTGAAAGTGTCAGAATAAAAAGGATTCTTGGAAGAGTGGCCTGCTTCCCTGTTTCTGCGTTGAAGATCTGCTCTGTGTCAGCCCGTAGCTCGGTGCCAATTTGCAGCACAAGAATCGTTTCCCTAAAAGCCATGTCAAATTTTACATTTACTGCTGGCTACAACTAAGGAAGCAGTATTAAACTAGGAACCAACGCAGCAATCTTCAGACGCTTTATAACATACAGAAAGTTCTTGAATCACAGAAGTAGCAATAAAAAGCCTATTATCAAACTAACAAAATTGACCTCTCCCTCCTAGACAGAGATGTTTGCAGCAAGAATGTGCTGGTGAGCAACAAAAACCAAATCAGATGTGAACTGATATTAACCAGGGGCACTAACTTCCCCCCAAACTGAGACTGCTTTAGATTGTAAAATCTACTGGAACTATTGCCAAGTACTCTCTTCTCGGCTAACCCCAGGATCTCTCCTGGCACTTGAATTCACGCTGCTCCAAAAAGCAGCTGGTGAGAGATGCTCTGAAGAATCCAGACAAATGACAGTTTTCAACACTGGGAAAACAGCTAACCAGGCCAGGGAAAGCAAACATCCAGAGTCATTCATGTACTGCGCCTATTGCATAACTATTCCGATGATTTTCCCAGCTAAGAGACTGTGCTTATGAAGAGTTTGCTATGAAAATAGTTGTATGCCATACGTGGAGGGCTATATTTAAAAAAAGATGCACCTGTGTCACAGCTGAGGAAGTTCAGGCGCACTGTCTGAACAGGTGCCCACGTGCCATCAATTCCTACCCGTTGGCCCTTAATGGCAGAGACAATACAGCAAGCATCAACAAGAGCTCAGCAGCACATGGGTGGGCCCGAGAGCATTGTTCTCTAAGCGTGTAATTGCATTCCCAACAATCTCACTGTACGTACAGATTTAAAATGAGCAATTAATTAAAAGCAATTTTAAAACACTTACGGAGTCTATTCTCTATTGCCAGCAAATCCAGGCGCTAAAGCAGAAGAGGATTTGCTGGTTTGTGACTTTGCAGTTCTTTGAATCAATAGAAGAATAAGTTTTATTGTAATGAAGACATGTAATTACAGTATATGGAACATGACAAGTAGATATACAGTGATGTAAAAGTTAATATAAAGAGTTCCCCGCTTAACCTATCCTGTTTCTACTTTTAGAGGCAACTGCTGCACAACTAGCAAAGTGAATTAGTTCAAAACCCCTCCTTTTGAAAGCTAGAGCTTCTAACTGCATTGCTTCCAGATGGGTTAAATCCAGAACACTATTCTGAAATAATTTACCCTTAGAAGTTGTACCAACAGTCTTAAGTTAGTACTCCGTGTTCCCTTTCACACAAGGTGTAGGCTCAAACTGAGGAGCTATCAAGGAGCATATTACTACACTAACAGCATATTGCATATAGATATTGCCGATACAGCTGTGTATTAACAGTTCAGGTACTTAAAATGGCAACATACTGTTAGGGCAATAAACTTGTGTTTTTACACTCCCAGTGCCATCTAGTGGCTACAAAGCCAGATACATGCCACCAAATTCTCAACCATTCGGGGTTCAGACAAGAGTTCAGCGCCGAGAAAGTGCGATTGTCCTACATTTACAGTCCACGCTCATCACTAAATCTTGCACAGGAGAAAAGAGGAAAATGAATCTTTGCTTCTCTCGCTGTTACACTGAGGGAATTCCATAAAGGCAGTGAGTGTAGGGAGAAACACGCGTATCTGCCTTACATATTTAAAGCAAACAAGTATTTCTCCTGTATTGTAACACATTAGATGTCGATGGTATAGTTTTATTACATTTTATTCTATAACCACCTTCTCATTATGCAGTGCAATCTAGTTTGTCTGGTTTTCCCCTCCTAACAAAGTTACACGAAACCTTGCCTCTTATATTCCAAATAAATACCTTTGCTACATCTGCAATAAATACCTTCACTAACAACGTTAAACTACATCTTTTTTCCTAGGTGATGCACCTCCCTGTAATCTTTGGAAGGCTGTTCACCTCTATACACACACCAAAAATTATACTGATAAGCCATTAGAGAAGTTCTATTTTGTATATACATTACTTTAATGTCAGCTCAGGTCATGGCCTAAATACATCCACTAGATTCGCGTACCCCACAGGAAAATTTAAGTGACATGTTATGAAATTTAATTTGGTTTGTATTAAAGTAATTTAGAACTATTTAAACATCTGGCTTTTTAAGTACAGAGTAAAAGAAAGGTCAATTCATTCCACCTTCTTTTAGAAAAAAAGTGGTGCTGTCATACGAAGACTTTTTTATGTGACAAAATCATCTTGGAGTGGCCTAGGGTATAAAATGACAGCACTCTTGCTATCCTGTGTCAGATCCACGTACAGCAAAGAAACACTACCTATTTTCAAATACAGTTTAGAAATGGTGCATAACATTTCTTATTTACTAGATTACTGATACAACGTATAAAAATTAAGAATAGGAACTGTATCATAAGCTCTCCAAACTGCTTCAAAGAGAACATCTAAATACATGAAATATTTGGTTAGAGGAAATCTTAAGTTGACTCTCACTGGTTGATAGCCTAAGAAAATATATAAAACGCAGAACAAGATTAAAATCTATCATTTAAACTGTTCCCTACTTGCTGATTTAAATCAGTTCTGCAGCAAACCTGGAATTGCTTTCCTTTCTCTTCCTCTCTCGGTCCAGCTGAATAGCTGGTGATCCCATCCTGCTGCGTTTCCACTCCCACCGTAGGCTGGCAGAGAACCCAGAGTGAGCGGAGTTTGTGAGCTTGACTCCACCTCATGCATCACTTGATGCTGGTTTGCCTCCCCAGCAAGGCAGAGCACCTCGGTTCGGGACTGATGATTTTGATTGATTCTCCCTCTGCCCAGCCCATGTGTCTTACTGTCCCTAAGCTATTAACAGCATCGTCTCTGCAAGTCAGAAAGATCTGTACATTGTCAATTCACTGCTGTCTAAGCACTATCCAGTGTTACATAGAAAGGTTTAGACACTACGTTCATCAGCTTTACTGAATTTCCATTTCCAATCATTTAGACTGACAGCAGTATTTTTGCCTAGAAGGCTATGCATGCATAAACTTGTTTCTGTTTAGCAATAGTTTCCTTTCCCCTGCACTTTCTGCCTCCACATTCTGTAGAAGAGAAGCTACGCTAAGAGCAAATTTAAGACTACTGCAAATGCAGCCCATACAGCTGCCCTTCGATCTAACAGGCATTGCCCTGCTGTGTGGAAAAGCACGAGTTTCTTGTTTCTTGTAGTGTTTTCTGTGTTATTGTTAATGATTAAAGCAGTTCTGAGAGTAAACATCTGTAATTGTTCCAAATACAAGATGACATTTGTTGCATAAACTGGTTTTAATTATTTTGTGGCCATGGCTCCTTTTCTTAAATCCAGGACAGTGGTTTCATAAACATTAAGGAACTAATCCAATGGCCACAAGCAAAACACACCCAAACATTTCCCTAACTTCCCTAGCTAAGTTGAGATCAACGTCATCATACAAATTTTCAGAACAGATACTATTTTATCTTTGTAGACAAACATTTTTCATGCTCTTATTTTCAAAGCAAAATTAATACAGACTGAACTTCAAAATCGCTGCCTATTTCAGGGGTTTCAGCTAGAAAAATGATCAATTTAAGCTACTAAAAAAGAGAGCATGCTGAAAAAATTTAAATGGAAACATCTGAGCTGCCTACACTAGAAAATGTTTCATTTTAATTAGGAAATTAGAGGATAGAGCTCACAGATTTTGACTCATTGTTTCAAAGTGCGGATTGACAGCAGGCTAATATCTACAGTTCAACAAACATACAGCATACAAACTACACAACAAGGTTATACAGTATAGAATATGGATAGCGCTCACTAGAGCCCAGCAGCATTACACTAAGTACTTCTTTTCCTTCAGAAGTACTTAACGTTTAGAACTTAATGGAAAAGTCTTTATTCACATATTTAAAAATATGCAACAATTAAAATACTCAATTCAGAAAGAACACGGTATAGAAATATCCTTACCAAATAGAGCAGAAAGGTGTGGAGACCTGTTCCAAGTCCAACAGAGGACAGAATGCCTAATCCTACCCAGTAGGCACACCAGAAGAACTTTTTCTCCATATACCGCACATACTGAAAAAGAAAAGTCACAAAAGAGAAAAAAAACAAGAATGGTGATATCTCCTAGGGGAGAAAGTTAAAGCTACAAACTAACACAGAGAGTTCTCTAACTGAAATAGAATCCTAGATACTTCTATTTGCAATTTATTACAATTACAGCACAGACACATACAGAAAATAGCGCACTTTCAAAAGAAAAGCCCACGCGCCTTAGAATCAGCAAGTTTCCAAGGAGATAGATGAAAAATTCAGGTTCAATAGTAGGGGGTTGAAATCCAGAACAGGCATACTAGGTGCGAGCAGTGAGCAGCAAGCCCCAGACAGCGTCTACTGGAGCCCAAGCAGCGAGCAGACAGCTCAGCAAATTGCCTGAACAGATTAAATAAAGGAATAGATTTAGCTGCACCCTCAGTTAGTCTGTTGAATGTTTTATCTTGGACCAGTGAGTAAGCAGGTTTGTTATTTTTAACAAAGGATTAAGATGTTGGTTGTGTGTTGCACAGATAAGTGAGGCAATACGAGAAAGTCACAGCAAATTCTGGACGTAAAAAATCCAGTTGGGGACACAGGAGAAACGGGAAGCAGTATCTCCCTCTCACTGCCACGACAGCAATACTAGGAGGATGAGCCAGGCCATCAACTTGTCTGTACCACCGCCCCAAAAGAGGTGCCATTTTATACCATCCATGGACCAACAGCACCAAGATGAGGTTTACCAGTCTTAACCAGGCTTCAACCTGCCAGGGTGTAAAAAAAAGTCCTGAAAACGGCAAGGGAAAAATCACAAGTGTACTTCACTATTCTGAGTATGCTTTGGAAAGAAAGCGGCTCATATTCAAGTACACGTTGACGGTACACAGAGATAGAAGCATTAGCAGGACATGGACTTTAGGGAAGAAGCTCTGGAGGAAGGGGGATGGACAGATACCTGCTGGCACACATGACTGAGACCCCCCCAGAACGGAGAGCTCCAAGCACTGGCTGGACCCCGCAGGTCACGCTCCCCTCGCCAGTCCCAGAGGCACAGGTTTGTTCCCAGCAGGCTCAAGGAAACCTCCGGAGCAGCACGGCTCTGCCAAGCCTTGGCACCGTGCAGGCCCAGCAGGCAGCTCGGGGGCCGTGCGCCTCACCACCAGTTTGCAAGAGCCATCTAGTGGCAAATGTTCAGTGCATCACGCTCGGGCCATCATGCCAAGGCCACCAACCCGGGCAGTTTTTAATGAAGCAGGTATTTGTCCATCAAGAACGGGGCCACCGATTTACCATCTACCGACTTGCTCTGCGTGCAAGTGCTTAGGTCTCAAGCATCGGGACTGAGTGAGCGAGAACTCAATGAGCTGAAGCAACTCATTTCACTGCATTTCCAGACCCGTCCTGGGAAGCCAGGACTCGTGTTCCAGACCTGCGTGTCCTTCAGGCAGCCAGTGACACACCATAGCAGTATGGATGTAAGCAAGTTCTCTGAAACTGGGAACCTGCTGATTTCAGAGTCAGAGCGGTAAGATGATTCAGTTGCACAAGGAAATGCTCTGCAGGGTTTAAAAGGGCTGTCTGCCTTCAGGGAAAGTCTGAAACTCAAGGAGAAATGGGGAAGGGAAAGGTGTAGACAACACCATCACCTTATGCTTAAGCAATGGCTTACACTTCAAGCGATGCAAAAGCATCAGTCTTCATGTACCTCAAAGCACAAAAAAGTTTTTAGAACAACCATTTTAAAACAATGGGGGCATAAGAAGCATCGCAGAAAGATATTTGAACCACGAAACCATTTTACGTCTAAATATATGCCTAACCTAGCATGGGATGGGGGTCAGGAGACCCTTCCATAGCAGAAGAAACATTTCTTGGGAACCACGAAGTTCCACCATGACTCAGTTTAACATTATATCTCAAGAGCTCACACCACTATTAAAAGCTTGTTAACAGCAGATGTGAAGGAGCGCTGCAGCATCAGAGGTGTGCTTATTCAGGAATGGATGAGAGGTGGAACACCTACAGATGCAACAGAATAGATGAAACGATATAGCTGATCGTTTCGCATCTCTAAAGTGCAACTCATCCACACAGAACAGAGAGGAGTCATGACATGAGAAACAAGTATCCTTAGTGAGCAGGAGTTCAAAAGATACATTACAATTTCATAAAGACCCCATTCAATTCCCGGTACATCTACTTTAGCACAGGGACAGGAAGTTATTAGTCACTAAGGAAAGTAACTTGAAAACCTCATACCTGTTGATGTGTTCCTTCAATGTAATACGTAGCTGTAAGCACTGCAAGCACCAGTAAAAAAGACACCAAGATACTTCGCCGATGCCACAATCTTAAAAGACAAACGGCAATTAGGGGTTTTCATAATTTAGCATGCATTTCAAAGTAACTTAGTTATCCCTGTAGACTGAGTCTGCGTGGATGTAGTCAGTGGGGACAATGGCAGCTGAAAAGTTTGCTATTATAAATGCATAAACCTCTGAAGAAAATATCTGGGGAGCCTTTATTCTTTATGGAAAAATCTCTACTTCACTGTCAAGTGAGATCAAAGTTCAGCCATGCATATTTTTTCCTAAATAAAGAAAAACAAAGTAACCATCTGAAAACACACACAGTCTGAAAACAAATATTCAGCTTCTGCAGCCAAGACAGTCTCAAACACAGGGCCATCAACATCATCCACGGGTAAGCGAAGTGCAAAGCAGGCACCACACTGGCCCTGGGCAAGGGATGAGCTGTGGGTGGAATACAGAAGTGCTAATTTCAAACTGCGTGCTGGTGGGTAGAACCACAGTGACAGGAAGAGGAACAAATCTTTATACTACTTTGGTTCCCCTCATCTATTAAAATTAGTATCTCTTGTAACAGCTCAGAGTTTAATAAATACATTTTAGCTAGTTGTAAAGCATTAGGAAGCTACTACAGTAAGTGGAAAAAAGCGTTTTCCTACGTAGTTTGATACCCAATTATTTTTGAGCCTGTTTAGTTTTACATACACATTCTGCTTGATGTGTATGAGGCCACACACAGTAGATTAGCAAATACATTTATTATTTTCTTGGAAACACTATTATACTGTCACGTAATGATATGAAAAAGCAAGTGCTAGCATCACTTAAAACTCCGAGACATGAAATAGCAAACTATGAACGTAACTTATCTATTTAGACAGAAAAAGATAGAAATACGAGACATGTAATACAGGAGAACAGTCACAAATGTTTCATATTAAGCAAGCTGAGAAAAGTCACTCTAATTTTCCTTCAATTTTAAAATAATTTGTGCTGCTTATATTAGTATGAGAATTGGATTTTCAAGTGATTGGCATCATTTAAATAGCAATTTACTGAAGTGGAACACAGGATACCATTAAGAGTCAATCTGAGGTCTCCACTTAATAGCTTATAATAGTCAGTGTTATTTTCTGTAAAGAGATTGTCGTGCTAGTGCTAGACAACATAGATGTGCTGCACAACAGAGGATGCAAGTGCCATCTGTAACAGAATTTGATGTCTAGGTAATAGTCAGCTTAAGTAAGACCGCAAATGTTATTTCCGCTGGGTTTAAATAAATGCTTGGAGGTTGTCAGAAATGGCTAACATAAGACCCGATAAAACAGTTCTCAAAGAAACAACTCCCAATGATAGTTGCACATACTAAAATAAGTAGGTTTCAGGGTTAGATTTTTTTGGGGGGGAGCACAGGGAGTAGGAAGTGTAAAAGGGGATAAAGACTACACTATGCAAACCTGTTATTTTTCATACAAATAATTTCAGAAGGTCCAAATGGAAAACAGAAGTTTCTCTCAATGGATCTTATGTGTCAGCACCTCAAACCTAGCCCAGAAGGGTCAATGAACATAGCCCATTATCACCAATCTCAGCTCACTCTGCAAAGGAGCAGTCCAACAGCTAGGATCACCCAAGGTGATACTGGATCCTATCTTCTGACAGGGAAAACGATTGTAAACACAATCCCAAACATAAGAGATTCCAGTTATCAACACAAGCGCTAGGACGGCTGCTAATCTTGCCTTTTTCACCTGCCAATTTTACTCATGTTTGCCTTTTGGCACTCCAAACCCTCTCGAGCCTAGAGCCTTAAGAAATAGCTATGCATTTCAGCATTAGCAGGGGATGTTAGCACTGCTACTCACAAATTTTCTAGCTGGAGTAAAAGCCCATTTTATCCAGTGTGTAAATAATGCCTAGGGAAAGCACTTTAATAAATCATTTCCTGCTGCGAAAGAGACCACATAGCTTACAAGCAAAGTCCTCTTCGCAGCATCATAAACATCACTGCAAGTTCCACGTAATCCTGGACCCTGCCCTAGCTGAGCTATTTGAAGACCATTCAGCGATAAGGACACATACATTAATAGATCAGTACTTAACACTGCAGTCGTAAGTACAATATCTCTTCCTTAAGGATCCCCAAACACTGTCCCATTCCTTCAAATTGCAATATTCAACTCTTCAGAAAGGAAGTTTGCAATTTTCTTCCATTGACACCTTACTGTATTTACACTTATGTAATTTAGGCAGAAGGTCTGAGTACACAGCTAGAAGTGTGGTATGTTCCAGTAACCACCTTTAAGGTACAAAAAATAAATACGTTTTCTGAAAGAAGAATTTTAAAGTTGTGAATCATTAGGGAAAGCGAGATGTCAGAATGACCTACTGAATCAAAGCATAGGTTTCCCCAGAATGCTTAGTAGAAGTTAAAGAATTATCTTTACTTTATGGTCCATTCCTTCAAGTTTATTAGAGTTTCCAGGAAAAAATACTGCAAGGTAACAAGCGGTTGTCTCCACAGGACAATATTCGACCTCTCTTCTCGGTCCCTTCGCTTCCGTTCACTCAACAAAGAGGAATCTGCAAATGAAAAGCAACAGAAATGTAAAAGCAGAGGTTACAGTTCAGATTCCATCCCACCCAAAACTACACTGACTTTTTTTTTTGGCTTTGTTAGGAAGGTAATGTGGGCTGCCAGTCATCTTTTCCACTCATCACAAAGCATTTGCTCTAAGGACATCAGAAATCAGGTGACCTCAGCAAAGGATATAAAGTGGCTTTTTTCCTCCATGTAGCTGACAACCATTCAAGAATCTACTTGGCCCAGGGTGCAGAAAGCCTGGCATATCTAGTAGCCTTCATGCAAGGTACCGCACTACCAGTTACAAAGCAGCCAATACATTAGGTCAAATGCGACTCTATCACCCACTACAGAGACCACATTTCACTTTGAACTTTTCAATTTGGTTCTCTTCCAAAGCTATCCTCAGACTTCTCCAATCGAACTAGATTGAATTACACGTGCTCTTTACACACTTCAGTCACCGCGTAACTGGGTAACAGCATCTACCCTCCCAGTCGGGATCCTCAGGCTGTGGTAAGCCTTGCCACGCTGTTCAGCTTCTCCAAAATGAGCCCAGCAGACCGGAAGCACTGCCATGAAAAGGACCTGCTTTTATACCCCAGTCCTTCGCTGGACTGACATGGTACATTTCATTGCTTTGAAGTGCAGTGATTTGGTTATGTTTTATATATATTAAAAAATATA